GGTGTGGGTGTGGGTGGGTGTGGGTGTGGGTGGGTGTGGGGTGTGGGTGTGGGTGTGGGTGGGTGTGGGTGGGTGTGGGTGTGGGGTGTGGCTGGGTGAGGTGTCGGTGTGGGGTGGGTGTGGGTGTGGATGTTGGTGGGTGTGGGTGTGGGGTGTGGGTGGGTGTGGGTGTGGGTGTGGGTGGGTGTGGGTGTGGGTGGGTGTGGGGTGTGGGTGTGGGTGTGGGTTTTAAAAATAAGAAATAAATTCACACCCACACCCACACCTACAGCTACAGCTACACCTACATCCACACCTACACCCACACCCACACCTACACCTACACCTACACCCACACCTACACCTACTCTCACACCCACACCCACACCCAGACCCGCCCACACCCACACCCACACCTACACCTACTCCCACACCCACACTCACCCACACCCACACCCACACCCAACCACACACCCACACCCACATACCCACCCTAAACGATAACAATAATCTCATGACCCTTCATGATTAATTTTCCTTTATGATCAGTTATTCATGATTAGTCGTCCGCCGTGATCAGTTGTTTGTCATGATCAATTGTCCGTGATCAGTTGTCCCATGATCAATTTGCTGTGATCAGTTGTCCGCTCACGTAGGTGAAGTTAGCACCATATTCGAGTAAATCCTTCCCATATTCGCTCAGGAAAGCGTTCCAAGTAGAACTCAACGAGCTCTATCTAATGGTAACTTTGGATTTTCCACAGCCCAAACCAATCGTGAGAAAAATCCAAAATACTGCACTTTTTCAATAGGAAAAACCAAACCTACTTACTAAAACCCGCCCATATTCGTCCAGGAGCGTGTTCCAACCGTTCCATCAGGGTTCCAAGTACAACTCGACGAGCTCTATCTAATGGTGTCCTTGGATTAATCGTAATCCAAACCATTGGTCAGAAAATCTCAAAATACCAGATTTTCACTGTACATATGGTTACTAAAACCTGCCCATATTCGTTCAGGAGCGCGTTCCAACCGTTCCATCAAGGTTCCAAGTACAACTCGACGAGCTCTATCTAATGGTGTCCTTGGATTAATCGTAATCCAAAGCATTGATCAGAAAATCTCAAAATACCAGATTTTCACTATACATATGGTTACTAAAACCTGCCCATATTCGTTCAGGAGCGCGTTCCAACCGTTCCATCAGGGTTCCAAGTACAACTCGACGAGCTCTATCTAATGGTGTCCTTGGATTAATCGTAATCCAAACCATTGGTGAGAAAATCTCAAAATACCAGATTTTCACTATACATATGGTTACTAAAGCGTACCCATATTCGTTCAGGAGCGCGTTCCAACCGTTCCAGCAGGGTTCCAAGTACAACTCGACGAGTTCTATCTAATGGTATCCTTGGATCAATCGTAATCCAAATCATTGGTGAGAAAATCCCAAAATACCACATTTTCACTATATATATGGTTACTAAAACCTGCCCATATTCGTCTAGGAATGTGTTCCAAGTGTGGGTGTGTGTGTGAGTGTGTGGGTGTGGTGGGTGTAGGTGTGGCTGTGGATGTGGGTGTGGTGGGTGTGGGTGTAGTTGAAAACGAGACTACACCCACACGCACAGTCACACTTCCAGACCCAGACCTATATCGTTTGTTCAGTAGCATTTTCAACCTGTTGTTGGAATACTTTTAAGCAGCCGATGGCATTAGCAGTCTTTCCAACTTCAAGTCTAACTTTTCCAGTTAAATGTCGTGGTACTGCCTTTTCATCTGCACTATGGTCTTACTCTCCAACAGCTCATATGTGAACAACAATACTATCTCTGTATGTTTGTTCATCTCTGATAAAATCTTCAAATGTTCTGTTGCATGAAGGTGTCTTACACGTGGCTATACAACGAAAAAAAGAAGAATTTATTTTATGTGACTCTTCAAGACTAACATGATGGTTTCTGAAAGCTAAGGTACAACGAAACTTACATGAGCGCATTTTCTGATACATCATGTCTGACCAACCTGATTCCATTTCGCGTGTGGAGCTGTTGTAAATGTGTTTCCAGTCTTTTAACGTCAAGATGAATGATGCCTCAGCTATTTTTGGTGTGTTCGATTCGTGTTGAACTGTCGCACGAGTCTGTAGATGTGAGGAGACTCATCAGACGCTGTAGACTTATTCACAAATTTCGGTAAAAGAAGCTCGACTTTATTTTCTTTGTCTGATTCATTAACTTTTTCAACAGAACCCTGATGACTTTTGGACAGATCATCCGCAATTTTTTGACAATGTCGTCGCGAATCATCATACAAAGATTTACGTATCTTTTCTGTTTGATTTAATTTCAATTTCGATATCAAACGGCCGCAAATAGATTCTTTAGAACTTGTGAAATCGTTAAGGTGCCATGTTTCCTTTTTAAGTTGTTTTTTATCGAATCCTAATTCCTTAACAGCCGATATAAATTGCGCTGTGGTAATTTGATCCCAAATAGTTTGTTTCTTTTCTACTTCCTTTTCGTCTGACTCTTTATCTAAGTTATCTTCCATTACTTGCTTGGATGACTGATCATCTAATGAACCATCTTCTATATGTTGTGTTGATCCTGATTTAGATTTATTTTTTACTGATGAGATGAATAGAGTCTTTGGTTTCATTTTTCAATATAAACAAACTTAACTACTCTATGTGTACTCTCTGTAGAATGTAGATTAATTGAATCGACGAATGATGATGTATGTTGCAAGATGAATGATATTCAATTTATTCTTCGTCTTTATATACTCCTCTTAGTCAATCTTTTTTTTCTCGTTCTTTTCACAACATTCATGCAAGCGCAATCGAAAAAGAGTAAGTAAGTTCTTGGTTTCTATCAATTATGTTCATAGAGAATTTTATAGGGATGTTTGGCTATGCAACGGAGAAGTTGTTACAGAACCAGCACGTTTTATTCATAATCCTCCACCATTCCTTTTCGTGGACGTTGTCCATCCCACTATGAATGATCCAGATAGTGAGGGAATAGTGCAGGTAGATCTGAACTTCCATGATATTCAGCGTAATATTACAATTGGTTCATCAGTATAAGTAAACACAACTAATATCATGCAGTTTGTATAATTAAATAGTTTCATTCGAATTACTTGAGCAGTCGTCTGAAAAAGTAACAACGTATGCAATACCTATTAGACGTAGTTTCTTATAGAATTCATTTGAGAAAAATGATAGGAAATCAAAATACAAGCATAATGGTCAATGCTGTCTTTTATATGTCGATAGCATCTCGTTAACAGCATATTGTTCTTAATCTATTAAATTCTGAACAGTTTGACAATTCAGGTGATAATATTTCCGTCCTCCGTCAGCAACAATGACTGCTTTCTGAATATTCTATGTAGTAATGTTTCATAAAATGTCAGAAACTCATCCAATAGCCTGGTTTTCACACTAAAAAGGAAACAACTTTGTTATCACAATTTTCGTAAGTAGTTTTCTTCTTGTATACATGTAGGTGCTGATGAGACTCCTGTCGCATATACCTTTTATATAGAATGTGTCGAAGGCCTGGGTATTGACCAGAAAAAAAATCAAATTTTACCAATTCGTGGAGGTCGTGGATTCATCCTTAAAAAATGAACTAAACAGCTGAAACTGATTTACATGACAAATCAAAAACGCAACTACACTAGTTTGGATAGTTACACGTCTTACGGTGATAAACCACTATTTCATGATTTCTGGAGAAAGCGTCTGGACCGTGAACAATCCGTATACACTAATTGATAGAACTCATCCAGTTCTAATTGGAACAGGGCTCCAACACCTGGAACACGTTCCTGGACGAATATCGGCAAGTTTTAGTAACCATATGTATAGTGAAAATCTGGTATTTTGAGATTTTCTCACCATTGGTTTCGATTACGATTGATCCAAGGACTCCATTACATAGAGCTCGTGGAGTTGTACTTGGAACCCTGCTGGAACGGTTGGAACGCGCTCCTGGACGAATATGGACAGGTTTTAGCAACCATATGTGTAGTGAAAATCTGGTATTTTGAGATTTTCTCACCAATGGTTTGGATTACGATTGATCCAAGGATACCAT